AGTTAAAAGGCTAACAAAGCTTCTACTTGTGTATTCAATCACAAGTTGATCCTAGAATGAGCTTCAATGACCCATTCTTCCACTCAACCTATTACATCCAGATATGCATGAGTTAAAAGGCTAACAAAGCTTCTACTTGTGTATTCAATCACAAGTTGATCCTAGAATGAGCTTCAATGACCCATTCTTCCACTCAACCTATTACATCCAGATATCCATTTTCATGCATCCAATACTAATATTTTCGAGATAAACCCTCTTGAGTTCCCCACCAAGCACTAAGGAAATCTTCTAGCCTACAATTCTGGTTATAATTTGCAGCTGAAAAGGCTTAGCTAGCGATATGTTCCAACAAAAAGGATCATACAATCAACACACAAGCACACACAAACAGGGTTACAATTGCAAGCACAATGAGAAGCAATCGCACCTTAAAAGAGGCCTTAAGCCGTCGCTCAGGATGCCTATCCATCGGCAAATTATCCGCAACAGATATCTGAGCAATCGCATCTTCCAGCGTCCTGGCTTCAATAATCGAATCATCTCGATTAGTATTAGTAACCAGCAGCATCCGCTCGTATTCCTCCTCCGCCGCCGTCCGGCTCTGCCTTTTCTTAGCCTCCTCGGCCTTCCTCTGAAGCTCAGCTTGCTCCTCCTCTCTGCGCTTCCTTAATTCAAGTTCGGTTACCTTGGGGACCGGAATCGAAACCCTATTCGCCTTTTTATCAGGCTTCTTCATCGCTTTCTCCAATTCCTTCTCCTCCTGTTCAGCCAAACGCCGTGCCTCCGCCTTGCGAGCGGCGGCCTCAGCACGCTTCTCCGATTCATCCTCCCGCTTCTTGGCTGCCCTGGATTTGGGACCCTCCGCTTCTTTCCAGTACTGATCCACCTTCTCCCGAGTCTCCCGCTCCTTGCGCTCCGTCTCAACGGCGCTCTTCCGTGCTCTCGCCGCCTCGGCTTTACTGTTTACCCCCATCTTCTTCGGCATGGTCGCCTTTTCCGATCTGAGATCGTCTCCGGCGAGGGCGACGACGAAATCGATCGAATGACACGAAATCGAGTATTCCACCGATTTCTAAAAAGAAAAAAAAAGGCTTGCTCCACTTCGGCAATCGCTCTTTCCGCCACCACCCGCCGCCGAGCGCCACTTCTCTCCCCAGCCGTATAATTATAGCATCAATAAACAACTTAATTAATAAGAGAAAAATAAAAATTCATACATGGAACTCACATAAACATGCATACATAAACAATTTAATTAAGTCTAGTTTGTCTTCTAATTTAATTAAGTCTAGTTTGTCTTCTTTGGACCTGATTTCACAATCTCGAGCCTCAATTTTGCCATCTCGGGTCAATTAAACCCACTTTGACCTTGTTTTTGTTGTGCCATCGATACATATAAGTTAAATTAAATATTGAAAGACAACCTCATACCAACTTTAAAGTATTTAGAGACTCTAACCAAGGACAAACAAGTAAGTAGTTTAAGGTTACTTAGTTGGAAGAATTGTATAATGTAACTGGTAGCCCTTGCATGCATCATGGTTCCGAATGTTATGGTATGCATGTATTGTAATGACTCGTGGCCTTTTCATAGAGTTTGCTTTCTTACTATACTTTCCCTTTTTAGAATTGCTTCATTGAAGTTATTTGAAAATTTGATGCTTTCTTACTTTACTTTCCATTTTTGGAATTAATTCCTTGGAGTTGCTTCCTTTTTTTAAGAGTGAAATGATGGATCCCACTCGATGGAGACGAGAACGAGTGCTAATGAGGACCCTGAACTTTAAAGGAGGTGGATTGTTAGATCTCATATCAGTTAAAGAGGTGAACGAAACATTCTTTATAACAGTGTGGAAACCTCTCCCTAGCAGACGCGTTTTAAAACCCATGAGACTGACAACAATACGTAGCAAGCCAAAGCGGACAATATCTGCTAACGGTGGACTTGGGATGTTATAAATGGTATCAGAGCCAGTCATCAAACCACGCGAGGTACCGGTTGGAGTAGGGCTAAACCCTGTCCATAGTAGACGCGTTTTAAAATCTCGAGGAGAAGTCTAGAAGACAAACTAAAAAAAAGGCAATATCTGCTGGTAGTGAAGTTAGTCTCTTACAAAACCAGAAAAAAAAGTTTATCAAGTAAACACAAATAAAATGCCAGAGAACAAACATAATTCCTATAAACATGGCAACACGTTTATAATTTAACAATTTGGAAGACGGAACAAAAACTGATATCAAACTTAATGGACAATAATCAACACATGTGATCTTGATCCAAGAACAATATGTCCGACTACAACCCAACCCTCCATTCTGCCTGAAACTTGTCTTTAAAATGGATCTAATTTGGGTATTTAAATAAAGGGGAGCATCTTGCTATCATGAAAACGCCAGCTGCAGTTAGCTCAAAACATGTTCATCACGTAGAATTCATGTCCAAATTCAAGAACTACTGGAATAGCCAATTTTCTTTTATTAAAGGATGAGATTTCACATAAGAGGAACAAGATATGGAGCAACAATCCCAATAATTTCCCTTTCTTTTTTTTTTTTTTTTTTTTTTTTTTTTTTTGATTTAAGAGAAGCATTGAATAATCGATTGGATAGCTTGAATGGGTGTAACAGTGTATCGACTGTAACCAGCTGCATGGATAAGATATGCCCACTCTTCATGTGTTCTTTCCTTGCCTTTGTTGGTATAGGCCATCATCAATAGGTCAAACATCAATCCCACATCTGATTTTTCGGTTCCTTCAATCATCAATAGGTCAAACATCAATCCCACATCTGATTTTTCGGTTCCTTCAATTACTGCTTCTATGATTATCACTTTCCCTTTGTTTTTTGAGATCGCTTCCTTGCAGTTCTTCAAAATTTTAATACATTCTTCGTCGTCCCAATCGTGTAGAATACACTGTCATTTAACCACAAAAGTCACAAATATCGTAATACTAACTTATGATAAAACCAATTTTGAATGAACGAAAATCGTTACAAAAAAAAAAGTCTTTAAAGGAACATAATGACTACAAATAGTATTAGAGCTAGACATCTGACGGTGTGTTAGGAAGAACATTGGGACTAGAAAGCCTAGTGTGCCAGCGAAGATGCTGAGCCGCAAAGGGGTGGACACTGGGTAGTGTGCTAGTGAAGGGGGGTGGATTGTGAGATCCCACATCGATTGGAGAGGAATGAGTGTCAGCGAGGACACTAGGCCCCGAAGTGGGTTGGATTGTGAGATCTCACATTGGTTGGAGAGGTGAACAAAGCTATGACATCCCACATCGGTTGAGGAGGAGAACAAAACATTTTTTTAAAAGGGTGTAGAAACCTCTAGCTAGCAGATAGCATTTTAAAACCGTGAGAGGAAGTCTATAAGACAAACCCCAAAGAGGGCAATATTTGCTAGACGTGGCCTAGAAAGCCTAGTGTGCTAGCGAGGATGCTGAGCTCCGAAGGGGGTGGACACCGAGTAGTGTGCCAGTGAAGGGGGGTGGATTATGAGATCACACGTCAATTGGAGAGGAACGAGTGCCAGCGAAGACGCTGGGCCCCGAAGTGAGTTGGACTGTGAGATCTCACATCAGTGGAGAGGTGAACAAAGCTGTGAGATCCCACATCGATTGGGGAAGAAAACAAAACATTGTTTATAAGGGTGTGGAAACCTGTACCTAGCAGATAACATTTTAAAACCTTGAGAGTAAGTCTATAAGAGAAAACCCAAAGAGAACAAACGTGGACTTGGTCGGTTACAAAAATATTGTTTATAAGGGTGTGAAAACCTCTCCATGAGAGACGGAGGAGAAACCCTAAGAAGAATAATATTTGCTAGTGATGGGCTTAGTCCGTTATAAAATTAGAACCACCTACACAAGACACAAATAGATGTACAAACCTTGAGGAAAGCAACATCAGCTTTAGGGATAAAATCGAACATATCACCAGCTACATGCTGCACGTTATCGTACTCGAGTGAAGCAGACACAACATGTGGAAGATCAAAATTGATACCTCTCATCCATGGACAAGCCTTAACTAGAATACTCAAAGTGCTACCATTTCCTCCACCCACATCGACCAAACATCCAACACCATCAAAAATATCACCACATCCTTCAAGTATAGCCGAAGTAGTGACCCTAGCAGAACAAGCCATGGCCTCATTGCACAGCATATTGTACTCCGGATTTGCTGCAGCATAACTCCATATATCCTTCCCATGAGCAATCTCAAATGGTGAAGTGTCGCTGTTCTTTAAGTGGGCGCTCAAACACTGCCATGGTGCAAGCATCACAGGGCTAATTTTAAACAGAATCATGGGAGCCATGCTGTTCTCAACGTTGGTGGCTGTTAGTGAAAGAGGGATTTATTGAATGGTAGATGAGATGATTGAATTTTGAAGAGCAAGAATGCTCTATATATACACAGAGAATAGAAAGAGATATCTAGAAAATCTACCTAGAAATCAGAAAATCTGGTAACAGACCAGTAAATAAATCAAAACAAAATCTAATCAAATCAAGAGTAAATCAAATAAAAACAAATCTAACTCCTAACGGAGATTTAATTAGATACCAACTGACAGCAATCTAAACAAATACGTGATCTTTAACAGTGGCAAGCAAGCGAGACAAGGGTGTGTGCGCATAGCCTATATGGCTTTCAGCGGTGGTTTCTTCTCTGAAAATTCCACGATGAATGAGGAACCTCATGATGCGGTAAAGGAGGGTGGAAGAACAGTTTGAAGTAGTGGATAGCTCCGCCAATGTCATGGGGCTTCCATTACCTTCGATAATGTCTGCAATTTTAAGGTCTATGATGCATTTTATTGCAGCCAATTCGGTGAAACCAAATGTGTATTTCCACATCTGGGTGATGGCTTGCCCATCTTCTTCCTTTTGAGATGAACATTTTTTGTGACTAATTTCCATTTGATGCTATCTCTATACCTTACAAGTTTTGTGTATATATATATATAAATGAAGCTCGAAGATCTGGCCTCGTAATAAAAAAAAAATGTCTTAATCAATTTAGGTAAAATTAAAGTATAAACGTGATATAAAATAGTCAAAAAAATTATTTGATTTCTAGCCTAAACGCCTAAAAAGTTTTATGTCTTTTTCCCACATTTTCAAATTGCTTTTGGTTCCATTCTTATCCATTTTGGAATTGTTCTTGTGTAGTTATTTGATATTTTGATGCCCTTTCCATAATTGTTGTGTTATCTTTTCAATTATTATGATCGAATTTATAGCAAAAGATTATTGGATGGTCAATATTAAATTTATGTAAGATATTTTGAGAAGAAATGTGATTAAGTAATGGAATTTTAGTTGTTTGCTTAAATTTAAATGCTTTTTTTTTTTTAATTATTTATTACAAGTTTTGTTATTTGAGTTTTCTCCTTTTAGTTGTACTAATAGTACGACCCTTCTCGGAAATTTCTGCCTAGCATACGCGTTTTCAAAAACTTGAGAGGAAGCCTGAAAGGAAATGCTCAAGAGGACAAAATTTGTTCGAGGTGGGCTTACGTCATTACAAATGGTATCAGAGCCAAATACTGGCTAGTGTGCCAGTAAGGAAGCTAAGTCCTGAAGGGGGTGGACACAAGGCGGTGTGCCAGCAAGGACGTTGGACCTTAAAGGTGGTGGATTGGGGGGTCTCACATCGATTGGAGAAGAAAACGAGAGCTAGCGAGGACGCTAGATCTCAAAGGAGGGGGATTGTGAGATCCCACATCGGTTAGGGAGAAAAACAAAACATTTTTTTTAGGGTGCAAAGAAAGTCTGAGACTGAAAGCCCAAAAATGACAATATCTGGCGGTGGGCTTTAGCCGTTACATATTCCTTGCAAAACTATCCCCACAGCCTAACATGAGTCTTTCCAACATATTTTGTCCTCACTCACATGCATTCTAGGAAAACGCCTATGAGGTCATCTAACATAGAATTGCTCTCATGCTCTCATCTTTGATTAAATCACCAAAAAAGAAGTACACGTTATTGGTATAGGTAATAATTTTCGATTTTTTAAACATTTCTTAATTATTCTCTCCTCAAAATCGCTCTCATTTAGATGTGGTCTAGGTTCATTCATATATTCCGATGTCACAATATAATATACCAATTTTTCTGACATTATATCAACGTGGTTATTTGAATTTTCTCGGTTTAATTATATTGATTTTTGGTATATGAGTGTGGTTATAATTTTTAGTATATCTATTTACACAACTAATCAACTTTACTTTGATAATTTAGTTGTATAATTAGCATATCAAACATATACTTTATATTAACTGATATTATAATGATATACTTTAAATTTACATTAATCTTACAAACTAATATACCAAATTTTAAGTACACCATAAATATTTCTATTAGAACTTAACTAAACTAGTTAAGTCATATTTCTCGATCAATTTTTTTTATTTTTTATAAATGTGATTTTTCACGAACACTATATCGCTATATGTAAGTTTTAATCTTCAATATATGTTAGTAATGTGCATGTTTTTTTTTGTCCCTTAGTGTGTTCTTTTAACTGTCATGTGTTGCTTGTTTATTCCTAATTCTTTCCATTTTTAATATGACGACGTTTGTTTATTTTTGGGAACGTTTTATTTTTGATGTAGTGGTCCTTAAATATCATTTCACTGTGGCATGTGACACTGTGTATCTCGGGGCCCGAACACTTGTGATACTTTTTCTTTTGTTCCTTTATTCTTGGACCCTAGTGTGTTGTTTCTTGAGTACCCGACAAATTACTTACAATGACACTTCTTTATTCTTACCTCTCAGTGTGACATCCGAGTAAAATGAATACATGAATGAACTGAGATTACATTCAAACGAGAGCTATCCTGAAGATAGGATGATTAATAAAAGCTCGAAGGAAATGAAAGTTATTATCTATATCTATAAGAAACACCAATTTTAGAAGCAAAAATCAATATAATGAAATAGGTAGGAATAATTTTAGAAGAAAAAAATAAATGACGTAATCATATGTGCGATATGACGGGAGAATATCATCCATTTTAGTGGCTAAACATTTCTTGGTTTAGGTGCAGAAGTTTATTAAGATGTCATTTTGATCCCCCACCTCTTATTGTCTAGAGAAAGTCGTGCATAATAATTATTTCAAAACATTTTCCATCAATTGCAATCTCGTTTTTCTTAATTAATTTTTTTTTTCCCTTTTTAATCCAAAGGTTACCCCCATTCATAGATGATCCATTCAACTTGCACGTTCGATAATGGAGAGACTCATCTCGAAGTATAAAATCCCAGTTTAAATAGAAAATGGAGTCACTGATATGAATTACATTCTCTATATTCGTCTCCATCACCAACCCTGAATTTTTAGAAATTATATGAAATACTGTATTTGTAACGGTTCAAGCCCACCACTAGCAAATATTGTACTTTTTTATTTTCCCTTTCGAGCTTTTCCTCACCGCTTTAAAATGAAAAGGTTTTCACCCCTCTACAAAGATGTTTCTTTCTCCTCCCCAACTAAAGTGGGATATGACAGTATTATATTTTTGTTTATAAATATTATTGAATTTATTAACACGTTTGACATCTTTTTAACCAAAAAAAAAATGAAATTGGCTATTAAATTATTGCAAAATTTTTAATTTATTTTTACTGGGATGATTAGACATTCCATTCATAAATTTTTATTTTTTTAATAAAGATGTTTTATATAGATTAAATAGAGAGCAATAATTGGACGGAACTATCTCCACCCAAAGTAGTATCCACAAGGTTTCCAATATCTTTTTTCTCTTATCAAACAAATAATAATTAAAATGTGTTTTAATTTATTAGAATTATTAAGTGGAAAAACTTCCATAAACCACTACCACCAATGGCATGCATTTTCCCTTTGGCACTATATATATATATATATGTTAAAATAGAACAAATTAAGACAATTTGAAGTAATAATGGATGATATTGGTAGCAAAGACTCCAAATTGAAGATAGAAGAAGAAGAAAACAATGATATCAAAGTCCAAGTATGGAAATACATATTTGGTTTCGTTGAAATGGCAGTCATAAAATGTGCCATAGAGCTCAAAATTGGCGACACAATCGAAGCCCATGGAGGCCTCATGACACTCACCGACCTATCATCTTCCTTAAATTGCTCTCCATTGCTTCTACACCGCATCTTACGCTTCCTCGTCCATCGAGGAATTTTCAAAGAAGAACCCACAAAAAGCTACGCTCAAACGCCCATGTCTCGGCTGCTTGCCAGTAGCAGCGGCAGCAGTATGGCGCCACTTCTTCTATTCGAGAGCAACCCAGTGATGCTCGCACCATGGCATAGCCTCAGCGCGCGAATTAAAGGCAATGAAGCCATACCATTTGAGGCTGCTCATGGCAAGGATTTATGGAGCTATGCGGCAGCTGACCCAATACACAATACAATGTTCAACGATGCTATGGCATGCTCTGCGAGGGTGATGAGTGTGCCTACGTTACTTGAAGATTGTGGAGAGATTTTTGAAGGAGTTGAATGTTTAGTGGATGTGGGTGGAGGGAATGGTACAAGCTTGAGCATGATAGTCAAGGCTTGCCCATGGATTAAAGCTATCAACTTTGATCTTCCACATGTTGTTGCTTCTTCACCACCACCCATTGGTGTACAACATGTTGGTGGCAATATGTTTGATTGTATTCCCAAGGCTGATGCTGCTTTCCTCATGGTTGGTATGCTTCAATTATGTCTATTTGGTCATTCGTGTCTAATAAGTAATTAATCTTTCAATTTTGTGTTTGATAAAATTTTAAATTTTAAGAAGTGCGAATAGGTCGGTGTAACATCCCTAACCCCGGTTAACAGATATTATCCTGTTAGGCCTTTCACTCAAGGTTTTTAAACGTGTCTGTTGCTAACTTTTTAGGCTTCTTCTCATGGTTTTTAAAACGTGTATGTTAGGAAGAGGTTTTCAAGCACTTATAAAGAATGTTTCGTTCTCCTCCCCAACTGATGTGGGGTCTCACAATCCACTCCCTCCGGGGCCCAGTATTCTCGTTGGCACTTGTTCCCTTCTCCAATCGATGTGAGACCCCCCCCAATTCACCCCCTTCGTGACCCTCGTCCTTGCTGGCACACCACCTCGGGTCCAACCCCTTCCCTTCGACTCACAATCCACCTTCTTCGAGGCTCAGCGTCCTCGCTAGCACTCGTTCACTTCTCCAATCGATGTGGGACCCCCCAATCCACTCCCCTTCAGGGCTCCTCATCCTTGCCGACACACGGTCTCGTGTCCATCCCTTTCGGGCTCAGCCTCCTCACTGGCACATCGCCCGGAGTCTGGCTTTGATACCATTTGTAACATCTCAAACCTACCATTTGTAACATCCCAAACACATTACTAGCCGATATTTTCCTATTTGGCTTTCCCTTTTGAGCTTCCTCTCAAGATTTAAAAACAAGTCTATGAGATTTCTACACAATTGCAAAGAATGCTTTGTTCTCCTCCTAAACTGATGTGATGTGAAATCTCACGATCCGTAAACTTTCAATCGTGAGTCTATTTAACCAAAAATTTTATAAATTGTCTCATAGATCTTTAAACTTTCTAAACTTATGTTTAATAAGTATGTAAACTTTGATTTGTGTCTAATATAAGTGATGCATCTACATATTTTTATAGATACTAAATTTGAAATTCAAGAACTTAATATTTGTAAAGTTCAATAACCAATAATCTTCATGAACTAAATGAATACCGTGCAAACGAATATAGATGAGGTGAAATTTTTGGATGAAAAAGAATATTAACTTTGAGATTATTTGATAGTGGGTTCTACATGACTGGGATGATGAGACATGCATCAAAATCTTGAAGAATTGTAGAGATGCAATCCCAAAAAAGACAGGAAAAGTGATAATTGTAGAAGCAGTTCTTGAGGGAAAACAAGAAAATAATCTGTCGGATGTGGGATTAATGCTAGACATGGTGATGATGGCTCATACCAACGACGGCAAGGAAAGAACAGCTAAAGAATGGGCTTATGTTCTTCATCAAGCTGGTTTTACTCGACACACCATTACACCCATTCGAGCTGTTCAATCTGTTATTCAAGCCTTCGCTTGATAGATCTTTATCCAAAAGGACTATTTGAATGTACTTTTCTCTTGTATGTTTGTCGGTCTTTTTATTTCAAAAATAAGAGATTTAAACGAAGGGCACGCGTAAACCATGCAAGTGGCCTCACTGTAGGATAGGTTGGACGACTTGTTTGATGTATAACTACATGTGTCTAGTAGCTCATGCACGTGTCTTGTCATTTATGTTTGTAATTATGATGTATGACGTATGATGTATGAAGATGTGACTGAGTTACATGATGATGTGATGATGTATATGATGATATGAGATGATGAGATGATGATGATGATGCATGATAATATGGTAACGTAATATTGTATGATGATGAGATGGATTAACATGACGCTATTCCATATCGAGATGAAGTGCATGTATTGAATACCACGATGCATTATGGCGATGATTTAGTTTGTAAGGACAACCCTAATTGAAGTTAATGATGATGAACATATGAAGACCAACATCTACATAGTGCTTAGTGTAGCATATAAATGGTGTATAGGGTTGTGTCACGAAGATAATTTAAAGATGAAAGCTATAGGGACCTCATGCATTATGTGTGTACATATACATCGGGATACTTTCCCATTTATGATGATGTGTACAAACACGTACGCTATGATGATGATGATGATCATGCCTCGACACTCAGGGGTCTGCTGACCTTCGGATGTCACTACAAACAGCTAACTCGACTATGATGGGTCTAGAGAGTGCGAACCGCTTGGAAATCCACACTCGCACGTGTGGGTCGTGTATAGAGAAGTACTACACATTCAATTTTTGTCCAAATAGGAGGTCACCCTTATGATAGTTTTTAAATGATAGGTCCCTATATCATGAGCTGCATGTGTTTGCATTTCGTAACCCAATTGTGGGGTCAGTTAATGAGTATTTCTTAAATACTCAAGTTGTGTGCTATTTCTTTTTCAAGTAAAGGCAAGACATTTTTGTACAGTTGACGATGACATCACAATTCGAGACCATGACACATGCATATGCATAAGGTAGCAGTATTTATTTTCTTAGATTTAGGTTAGATCAATAGGGTCTTTTTTAACTTTAATGTTATTTATTTTATTCAGTTTTTTGTTGTGTCGTTTAAAGATGTTTTCTAACCCATAAATCCATGAAACTGTTTTAAGAAGAAGTTTTAAACATTTAATTTCGCATATGAGTACCCACAAAAAATGAAAAATTTTCTCATAAACGGTATCCATAAAAATAGAGGGAGAATTTTTGAGTAATGAAAATTGAAATAGGAGATAAAAGACGAACACAAAAGGTATCAGAGCCACCGACATCTAACTAAATTTATTAAAAATACAATAAATGTCAACTTTTAATTACATAACTAATTATGCATTTTTAATAATAAACTATTTATCGACTAAAAGACTAAAGATTTAATCGCAATCGGTCTTTATATCATATTCAATATCAAATCACTACGGTCTCTTTCTACAAGTTTAGAATCAACGTTCAACATTACGATGTTCACTCTATCTCGATGTATATCCATATCATATGATCAAATAGATCAAAACCCCCCACTAGTTAAACTAAGAATAGATATCGGGTCTCTGTCTCCATCTTCGTCCCATTTAATTTTGTTAATAGAAATTATTTTTGCATATTTATTAATGTGGGCATTGTCCATCTTTTTTAAATCTTGCTAGGGTGGTGTGTGCATATTTATAAGAATTAAGTTCCTAGAGACGTATCTTTAATAATAATAATTGGTAGCTTTAATGGCATTAATCGATCTAATTAGGTCGATCAATTCAATTAGGCACAAAATTTTAAAATTCACATCCAACACGAAACTTAATAATTTAAGTCTTCTTTCTTTTTTCGTGTCGCAACGTCACAACCTTCAATGTTTTGATATTCAAATTGTTGTACTAGAAGTGAAAACAAGATCAGTTGGACTCACACACCTACAAACAGAAATTAAACAAAAAGACTCAAAGATTTATATGGTTTGGAGAGGAGAAAGTCTCCTCTATCCACTGGGTGGTAACCAATCACTGTAAACAAAATATTTACAAGTGTATCTTTCACACTACAAAACCTCTCAACAGAATTCATTTGTGATGTCTCAGGTTGGTTGGGGATGAGAACAAAACACCCTTTATAAGAGAGTGGAAATCTTCCCCTAGCAGACGCGTTTTAAAGGTTTGGAAAATCCGAAAAGAAAAGCCCAAAATGACAATATTTGCTAGCGGTGGGTCTAGGTCTGGGTCGTTACATCCTCCCAATTGCCTTTAGGCAAGTACAAAATGACAATAACTTAATGTCTCAAACTTCGCCTTTAGGCAAGTACAAAATGACAATAACTTAATGTCTCAAACTTCATGTCTCAAAACAATAATAGACAAGCTTTTATATATGCATAGCAATACTAATTCTAATAACTCTTATTATTATGACAATACATATTCATGACAACTTTAAGTCTCCATTATTAAAATAATGATAATTGGTAAATATTTAATGGCATTGGCATTTAATATCTTACCTTTTTTTAATCAATATCAAATTAAACATGTTAAATAAGTTCATTAATGATAAATGATCAAAATTTTAGAATTCACATCCAACACAAAACTTAATAATTTAACTCTCCTTTCGTTTTCCCTCTCTCCCAATCTATATATATATGGATGTGAAAGGACAATGATATCATCCATTGAAAAAGATACACAATCCCTAATGGACTTCGCTTTGAAACAATCCATTTCAAAGAAGGAAGAACATGAACACGCTCGTCTTCAAGTTTGGCAATACATATTTGGTTTCGTTGAAATGGCAATCATAAAATGTGCGATAGAACTCAAAATTGGTGACACAATCGATAGCCATGGAGGCCTCATGACACTCCCCGAGCTATCATCTTCTTTAAATTGTTCTTCCTCACTCCTATACCGCATCATGCGATTCTTGGTTCATCGAGGAATTTTCAAAGAAGAAATCACAGACGAAAATCTCACATGCTACAGCCATACACCGTTATCTCGGCTGCTTGCCAGTAGCAGCGACAGCAGCATGGCTCCACTTCTTCTATTGGAAAGCAACCCAGTGATGCTCGCACCATGGCATGGCCTCAGCGCGCGAATTAAAGGCAATGAAGCCATACCATTTGAGGCTGCTCATGGCAAAGATATGTGGAGCTATGCAGCAGCTAACCCAACACACAATGCAATGTTCAATGATGCTATGGCATGCTCTGCGAGGGTGATGACTGTGCCTGCTATACTTGAAGATTGTGGAGAGATTTTTGAAGGAGTTGAATGTTTAGTGGATGTGGGTGGAGGGAATGGTACAAGCTTGAGCATGATAGTCAAGGCTTGCCCATGGATTAAAGGCATCAACTTTGATCTTCCACATGTTGTTGCTTCTTCACCGCCATACATTGGTGTACAACATGTTGGTGGCAATATGTTTGATTGCATTCCCAAGGCTGATGCTGCTTTTCTCATGGTATACATGCATGATTAAATTATATCTCTTTGTCATTCTCTTTGCCATTCATAAGTGTCCAATAATCTTTTTTATTTTGTGTTCCATAGGTTTCTAAATTTTAAAAATAGTCTAAAAGTTATAAAATTTATCTAATAAATTTTTAAACTTTTTAATTTATGCCTAATAAATTTGTAAAACTTTGATTAGATTTGTGTCTAAGGTAAGTTATTGAATCCTTTCTCATGACTTCTAAATCTTCTTCTCAGCCACTACTACTGACTTTAACACTACAGAAGTAGTCGCCATGGCTGTTTTTGGCGGAGTCGATTATTACTCTTGGCTCCATCTTTTTGGCTTCCAAATCATCCTTTGTAAGCTCAAGTTTCACCATATTCCGTACATACAATCTCACCTTTTCCAACACATTCGGTTTCCCCTTAGCCAACATAGCCTCCTTCGTTTTCTTCCCTATCGGTCCTTCATCCTTCATAGAAATCTAACCTCAAGATCCTTATTAGTGTTCTCATCAGAAATATACAAAATCTCGACATACCCATCGACTTTCTGTAGAGACTTACCTTCGAAATCTGGGTGCCGACTTTAATTGCCAACTCTTTAGGCTAGGCTCCGGGCACCGCAATGGCCTCTTTGCCAACCAAGTCGCCTTCGGCCTCCTCGTCAAAATCGGCTCCTTGACCTACTATGGCGACTCCTCTGGCTTCAATACCGTCTTTGTCCCCAGGGGGTGTGGCTCCATCTCTGTCCATTAGAACTTCACCACCTGCTATGGCGCCGAATATTTCTCCAACCAACGCAAACTCCAGTTGCAAAATATGCTCCAAATATTCTTACTCGTGCCCATTTACTCGATAGAAAACCAGTCTACAAGGCGCAAACCTCACTCCATCTCCACCCTTCTCTTTCTTTCTTGGTCTAAAATACACTGCATTCTCAATTGTTGCCCTCTTCTTCCTCTATTCTTTCTTCACGGCCACATCGAACCTTCTCTCTGTCTCTTGCCTTTTAATCAAAATAGAGACATTTGTCCTAATTCTGAAGCCTCTACGCCTTGAGTCTCTAGAGTCCACACCTCATGATTGGTTCTCAAACACCTGATTGCTAATAGTTCTTATTTCTTTGATCCTACTCTCTATTAATCTCTTGTTAGCGTTTTGTTTATCAACTTTCTCTTTTACTAGTGAATTTCTATTTTTCCAATTTCTTCCTTCTTTCTCCATTTCCATACTCTCTCTCGTTTCATGCCCATTCCATTTTTAACTGCATCTTCCAAGGTTGGATTTGCAGAAATTCTGGTGGGAATTTTCCATTCTCTCTGTTTTTTTTCTCCTCTCTTCGCGGCTTGACTAAGCCCCTTCCGCTCCTCAACGATCCCTCTGCAGTTTTTGATTGCCAAGAAAATACTTTGCCACCCAACTAGACGTCTCCTCCGAACCAAGTTATAACATCTTCACAAAAAGTGTTTCAAGACCTCCCTTTCAATTTTTCAAAATTCAAATACAAAGCTCAGCGTCACGAGTTTAGTTTTACCATATATATCATATTTGATCCTTTATTATAGACAAATATCTTGTATGATTGAAGATATTTTGTCTCATTATAGTTTACCATAATTATCATATTTGACCTTTTATTATAAATAAATATCTTAGGTTTCCTTTTAACATATCATATTTGACATAATAGGCAAATATCTTAGATTTACTATTACTTCCCTCCTTTTATTGACTTTGAGATGATCTGATAGTGGGTTCTACATCTCTGGGATGATGAGACATGCATCAAAATTTTGAAGAAATGCAGAGAAGCAATCCCAAAAAAGACGGGAAAAGTAATAATTGTAGAAGCAGTTCTTGAGGAAAAAGAAGAAAATAATCTGTCGGATGTGGGATTAATGCTAGACATGGTGATGATGGCTCATACCAACGACGGCAAGGAAAGAACAGCTGAAGAATGGGCTTATGTTCTTCATCAAGCTGGTTTTACTCGACACACCATTACTCCCATTCGTGCTCTTCAATCTGTCATTCAAGCCTTCCCTTGATATATCTTTATCCAAAATGAATACTTTTCTCTTGTATGCTTGTCCTTAGTTGAAAAATAAAGAGATTTAAATCTCGACTTTTTAATAAAAAATTAATGTCTTAGTCACTTGAGCTATGTTCAAATTGTGACTCATATGAATGTCGTTTAGTATGTAATCCAGTTCATAAAAATAAAAGTGGCTTTATTTTCTTAGAATTTTTCTATTTATTATTGTACACACAATGATTTAAATGGAGTACGTAAATGAACTCACACCACATTTGAATGAGATCCTAAAAATAGGATAGCTAATAAAGATTTAAAGAAATGGAATTGGTTAGAACAGTTATATGTTGGGTGGCCCCAGAGAATTTTTCAAGGATACATGTAAATAAGGACTAAGCATGCTGGAGATATATGTAGAGATAATCTCCAATTTTAGAAGAGAGTAAATAATATGACCATGTCGTAGGTCAGAACCATCTAGTGACAAATCTGTATTTTGATTCAAATTCTGGTCATGAATCATTATCGTCATAGTCTTATCGCGACCATTAGTGGAAACGAGTGTGCAAGACAAGGGACATAATTTCCATCACCTTTAGGTTGTTTCTTAATAGAATAAAATATATTATTCTGCACTTGATTTTTAAAATGATATATGTATAAAACTTGACTATTTTCTAATTAAATGTATGAGTTTGTCAGTGAGATCTCACATCGATTAGGGAAGAGAATGAGAATAAAATATTATTTATAAGAGTGTGGAAATCTCTTCTTACTAGACGCGTTTTAAAAACCTTGAGGGGAAGCTCGAAAGGGAAAGCTCAAAGAAGACAATATCTACTAGCAGTGGGCTTAGGCCATTACAAATGGTATCAAAGCCAGGCATCGAGTAGTATGTCAGTGAGGATGTTGGGCCCTGAGGGAGAATGTATTGTGAGATCTCACATCAATTAGAGAGAGGAACGAGTGCCAATGATGCAATGGGGATTCCTAACCCGGATAAAAGTAAATGGAAAATTTGTAAAGATAGGGATGGAAAAGGTTTTCTCGTCTCTACCCCACCGATAGATATTTCTAAACGAAAGATTGAAAAATTAAAGGTAAGTAATTGCTTTCTCACTTAATGAAATTATATATAAATTAAAATGAAATCAATTAATTAAACACAATTAAAAAGAACCCTAATTTTAATTAGAAATACAATAAATTTCCATTCAATTCAATGAGATAATTGGATATCTAACCACTTTCAATTATTTCAATTATTGTATAAAGTTTAAAAGTCTAGAATCAATAGGTAAAATATTCATGATTTAAACCGATTTTTTTTTTTTTTTTTTTTTTTTGTCTCGGTCGTAACCCTATTTTTCTCACTGAAATTATTTTTGTATAATCTCACGTAGGCATATTTATAAGAATTAAAGTTTTAGAGCTGTTTATTTGATAGCAATAATTAGAAGCAAAATACATAAAGTACTACTTTAATGGTATTTAATATATTTTTTTTTAATTAAATTAGTCTATTTTCATATTTACCTTTAAAAAGCCTCAAATATTAAAATGTGTCTAATAAATCTTAGCATTAATTTTTTTTTATTATTATGTTTAATACAACTATATTAAGTTTTGATATATTCAACTTTTTTTAATTTAAGTTTTTTATTATATAAAAAATTAATATTTTCAAATTTGTAATTTTGAAATATCTTAATATATTAAACATAAAATTTAAAATTTAAAATTTAAAAATAAAGAGACAAAAATAAATGGATTAAACTTAGTAATTCAAGTCTCCCCTCCTCCCAATCTATATCAAATCACTATATCATATTCAATATCAAATCACTACAGTCTCTTTCTACAAGTTTAGAATCAACATTCAACATTACGATATTCACTCTATTTCGATGTATATCCATACCATAAGATCAAATAGATCAAAACCCCCCACTAGTTAAACTAAGAATAGATATAGGGTCTCTGTCTCCGTCTTCGTCCCATTTAATTTTGTTATAGAAATTATTTTTGCATATTTATTAATGTGGGCATTGTCCATCTTTTTTAAATCTTGCTAGGGTGGTGTGTGCATATTTATAAGAATTAAGTTCCTAGAGACGTATCTTTAATAATAATAATTGGTAGCTTTAATGGAATTGGCATTTAAGATATTTCCTTTTTTAATAAAAAAAATTAAAAATTTTACTCTTAGAGATGAAATTCAACATATGTCTAATTAGGTCATCAATTCAATTAGGCATAAAATTTTAAAATTCAACACGAAACTTAATAATTTAAGTCTTCTTTCTTTTTTCGTGTCGCAACGTCACAGCCTTCAATGTTTTGATATTCAAATGGTTGTATTAGAAGTGAAAACAAGATTGATCAGACTCACACACCCACAAACAGAAATTAAATAAAAAGACTCAAAGATTTACGTGGTTTGGAGAGAAGAAAGTCTCCTCCATCAATGAGGTGGTAACTGATCACTATAATCGAAATGTTTATAAGTGTATCTCTCACACTCTCACACTACAAACCCTCTCAACAAAATTCATTTGTGATGTCCCACATTGGTTGAGGAGAACAAAATACCCTTTATAAGGGAGTGGAAATCTTCTCCTAGCAAACCCGTTTTAAAGGTTTGAGGGGAAGCCTGAAGAGGAAAGCCCAAAGAAGACAATATGTACTAGCGGTGGGTCTGGGTCGTTACATCCTCCCAATTGCCTCTACGCAAGTACAAAATGACAATGACTCCACATCTAACCCAGATGTCACTGGACGTACAAATACAAAATTACAATGACTTCATGTCTGACCCAAATGTCACTTCACAAATACATGAACCAAATAGAATATAAACCATCCAAGTTATGACAATACATATTCATGATAACTTTAAGTTCCCGTAATTTTAATAATGATAATTGGTAACTATTTAATGGCATTGGCATTTAATATCTTTCCTTTTTTTGATCAATATCAAATTAAACATATGTCTAATTATGTTAAATAAGATCATTAATGATAAATGATCAAAATTTTAGAATTCACATCCAACACAAAACTTAATAATTTAACTCTCCTTTCTTTTTCCCTCTCTCCCAATCTATATATATATGGATGTGAAAGAACAATGATATCATCCCAATTGAAAAAGATACACAATCCCTAATGGACTTCGCTTTGAAACAATCCATTTCAAAGAAGGAAGAACATGAACACGCTCGTCTTCAAGTTTGGCAATACATATTTGGTTTCGTTGAAATGGCAATCATAAAATGTGCTATAGAACTCAAAATTGGTGACACAATCGATAGCCATGGAGGCCTCATGACACTCCCCGAGCTATCATCTTCTTTAAATTGTTCTTCCTCACTCCTATACCGCATCATGCGATTCTTGGTTCATCGAGGAATTTTCAAAGAAGAACCCACAAAAGGCTACGCTCAAACGCCCATGTCTCGGCTGCTTGCCAGTAGCAGCGGCAGCAGCATGGCTCCACTTCTTCTATTCGAGAGCAACCCAGTGATGCTCGCACCATGGCATGGCCTCAGCGCGCGAATTAAAGGCAATGAAGCCATACCATTTGAGGCTGCTCATGGCAAAGATATGTGGAGCTATGCAGCAGCTAACCCAACACACAATGCAATGTTCAATGATGCTATGGCATGCTCTGCGAGGGTGATGAGTGTGCCTGCAATACTTGAAGATTGTGGAGAGATTTTTGAAGGAGTTGAGTGTTTAGTGGATGTGGGTGGAGGGAATGGTACAAGCTTGAGCATGATAGTGAAGGCTTGCCCATGGATTAAAGCCATCAACTTTGACCTTCCACATGTCATTGCTTCTTTACCAGCAGACATTGATGTACAACATGTTGGTGGCAATATGTTTGATTCCATCCCTAAGGCTGATGCTGCTTTCCTCATGGTATACATGCATGATTAAATTATATCTATTTGGTCGTTAAACTTTCATAAGTGTCTAATAATCTTTTAATTTTGCGTTTGATACGTTTCTAAATTTTGAAAAGTGACTAATAGATCGGTAAACTTTCAATCCTTATACTTTCTAATTTATGTCTAAGGTAAGTCATTGAATCCTTTTTCATGGCTTCTAAATCCTCTTCTCATCTTCTTGTTCGCCACCACTGCTGACTTTAACACTGCAGGGGCAATCACCATAGCTGCTGCAGGCAGAGCCGATTGATTACTCTTCGGCTTCCAAATCATCCTTTTTAAGATCACCCTTCACCATATCCTGGACATACAACCTCACCTCTTATTAGAGGAACACAACTCTCCACAATGATATAATATTGTCCACTTTGAGCATAAGCTCTCATGGCTTTGCTTCGGGCTTCTCCAAAAGGCCCCATACCAATGGAGAGAGTATTCTTTGTTTATAAACCTATGCTCATTTCCTAAATTAGCCGATGTGAGACTTTTCATCATCCAACACCTCTGTCCATTAGACTTCACCACCTGTTATGACATCGATTACTTCTCCAACCAGCGCAAACTCCAGTGGCAAAATATGCTCAAGATATTCTTACTTATGCTCAATTGCTCGATAGAAAACCAGTCCACAAGTCCTCTTGTTAGCGCCTTCTTTATCGACTTTCCCTTTGACCCGTGAATTTCTATTTTTCCAATTTCTTCCTTCTTCTTTCTCCATTTCCATACTCTCTCTCTCTCTCGTTTCATGTCCATTCCATTTTTAACTGCAACTTCGTATATCTTCCAAGGTTGGATTTGCAGAAATTCTTGTACGAATTTTCCATTATCTCTGCTTTCTTTCTCTTCGTGGCTTGGCCAAGGCCCTTCTGCTCCTCGACAATCCCGCTACAGTTTTTGATGGCCAAGAAAATACTCTGTCACCCTAGATGTCTCCTTCAAACCAAATTGCTGACATCTTCACAAAAAGTGTTTCAAGACCTCCCTTTGAATTTTTCAAATCCAATTCGTTCAAATACAACACTCACCTTGCCGAGTTTAGTCCTAAATTATGGTTTACCATATATATCATATTCGATCATTTATTATAGACAAATATCATTGAGAATATTTTATCTTACATTATAGTTTACCATAGTTACCATATTTGACCTTTTATTATATGAATGATATATAGGTTTACATTATTGTTTAACGAGTATATTTGTTATAAAAGGCAAATATCTTAAATTTATAGTTACTCTTAATTTAATT